GGCACACACACACACGCACACGCACACGCACACGCACGCACTCGCTCACGGCCGCACGGCGCCACGCCACACGCACACGCACACGGCACCACTCGCGGCGCACGCTCACACATTTTACTACACCATCATGGTCGATCGGTGCTATTAATTAGAGGATTTATTGACATTTTTGATTATTTCGCTATAATTCACTCCACATCTATTATTTAAACATGGCCTTACGACTTCATCATTCTTTTGATTTGCCATTCAGATATCATATATAGTGTTACTTTTCGGCGCCGATTGCAAAGACGATGACGATGCTGACGTCACTGATTGTTGCTGCCATGCTGTGCAGCGTTAACGGCAGACGAGGTGAGTGTGACGTCACACACATAAACACACACGGGCACGCGCACGCACACGCACACGCACACGCGCACGCACACGCACACGCACACGCACACGCACACGCACACACGCGCGCGCGCACACGCACACACAAACACGCGCGCGCGCGTGCGCGTTTCACAATCAATACCATACTCTCGACCGTGCTTCATTCACAGACTATTTTCTGCTCTTATTTCCTCCTTTAATAACACGCGGAAATTTGCGAAATTCTCAACGTTTCAGCACAAAAGCGTGAATATTTTGTTGTTGGGGGGGGGGCAGTGTCGCAACCTTCATCTTCACCCGCACCGTCCCACCAAACGCACATAGCAGTACTCGGTTCGCGCGTTTCCATGACAACCCGCTTCCGCATCTTACCGTCTCGTGACATCACGTTCTGTCGTCGGCAGCCGGGTTTCTTGAGCGTCACTACACGGCCGTTGGTGATGACGATGTAAAGATAGACTATGACGTCATTTTTAATGATGTCACGCGCATACAGCGCACCCTGGCGGACCATAGCATCTGCGGTATGACGGACAACCTGCACGACTACAGCACGGTATTATTATTATTATTATTAATATTGTTATTATTATTATTATTATTATTATTATTGTCATTATTACAGCAGGGTGTTATTATTATTATTGTCATTATTACTGTTATTATTATTATTATTATTATTATTATTATTATTATTATCATTATTACTATTTAAATTATTCTTAACTTGATATCTTAACAAACTGTTTTTTAATTGTTATTTGCTTAGTCGGTCGTTCAAATAGCATGATAGTTGCATTCGATGGCGTCATCGTTAGGCAAGATAAGTTGTTCATAATACAATTGCATTAATTTTACAAGATGACGAGCGATTTCAACATCATTTTCTGCTCTCAGTAAAACCTCAAAAGTTTTACATAACGCCGCGTTATGTGATGTGAACTGTATGTGATGTAATGTGAAACCCACAGTTCTACGAGCGCGGCGTCGGGCGGCTGTTTACACCACAGTATTTCTCTACGATTGCAGGGTTTTCTGGCGCAGAAGAATGGCTACGCGGGCATCTGCTACATCAAAAGACTCGACCCGATCTTGGATAGCACTTACGAGAATGCGCGCGCAGACATCGCCGCTATGACGGTGAGTCATCCTCCCTGTAGGTGGCAGCAGCGTCGCTAGGCCGTGTCGTGAGCAATCGAGGAATTGAGTAGAGCGAGAGGAAAAACCGCCTTCCTTCCGTCAAAATCCTTAGCCTATCACTAACCCCAACTGCTACCCTAACTTATCCCTAACCCTAACCCTAACCATTTCCCTAGCCCTAACAGATCAATAACAATGCCAAGAAAATATCCTCTTAATAATAATATTATTTTGATTTCTAATAATCACATTTTTGTGTTGTGTATTTACTGATATATGTTGTATGTATGGCGTGTATGTGTTGTTAATGTTGTGCGTATATTTCTATGTTTTGATACATGCGGTTTTGATACATATGTGTTGATATACGTTGAACGTATGGAGTGTATTATATATTGATATCTGTTATATGCATGGCAGTTTTGTGTTGTTATATGTTGTATACATATTTTTTGTTTACATATTTTGTATATAAGTTGAGAATGTGTTAATGTGTTGTAAGTATATTTTGTATTTCTTGACATATGTTGTATGTATGTTGTGTATGTGTTGACATATGTTGTGTGTAGGTATGTTGTGTATGTGTTCATATGTGTTGACATATGTTGTGTGTATGTGGTGTGTGTGTTGATATGTGTTGTATGTATGTTGTCGTTTATCTATGTATGTCTAGCCTCGCAGACACACACACCACTTTATGAACACAACTTGATCTGGATAAATTTCGGCATATGCTACGCTCTGACACTGTACAGATGTGCTCATGATAACATAGCTTGTCTAACGCCAACCCCTTCCCCCTTCATTCACCACCAGGAGGGTATGAGCGCCCCCATGCCAGAATACATCGACATGGGGTACGACAGACGTCCTATCGGACCTCTAGTACTTACGGATATCGCCGGTGATGACATTGCTGAGTTCTGTAAGGACATGCCCAGCTACTGGCTCTTCCCTGTACCCGAGGACCAACGACCAGGTAAGGTGACGACGATGATGATGACGACGATGATGACGATGATGATGATGATGGTGATAATGATGATGATGATGATGATGATGGAGATAGTGATGACGACGATGATGATGATGACGATAGTGATAATGACGTCGATGATCACGATGATGATAGTGATAATGGTGGAGCTATTGACGGCGATGACAACGACAACGATGATGATGATGATGATGTCGATGATGGTGGTGATAATGACGACAACGATGACGACGACTATCATGATGATGTCGCTGATGGCGATGGAAACGATAATGATGTTGGTGGTGGACGTTGTGGTGTAATTATTAGGGTGGTAAACTGGTAATGTAAAGGCAGGCCAGAAAGAGAAGGCGAGACCAAAATTCAACATGGCGGAGTTAATCAAACACGAGGCCAGGATGCTCGCAATTAAATAGGTTAAATGCATATTAAATATTTTAAGCTAAAATCGATTATATATATATATAGTTTAGGTACGTAAATTACGCTACATAAAAAATTCATTGGTCAGTATTCCTTCGAAATATTCTTTTAATGTTTTAAAACTAACGGCTATACCGTTGCGTACAACGACGGTGGCGCCACTACACGCGCATCCACTGACAAAGTTGCGCATCGAAACATTTGGCTGCAAGCTACAGACCGAGGGTGTGTCTTATCAAGAGCGTATAAATAAGGCCTTCTTTATACGCTCTTTGTCTTATGTATTTATTTAAGACGAGGATGATTGCAATATCGTATACACAACTCTTAGTTTAATTCATGTGGACGAATTTGTCCTAAAATAAAAAGCGTTCGGTTAAATTGCAGTTAGGTATAAATAGAATTGGACTTTTCTAATTAGCGCTTGGTCTGTAACTTGCAAAATAAATTAGAAAAAGCGCAACTTCGTCAAAGTGGTAGCAAAATCGCGGGGTGTCATGTCAGCGGTCAAAAATAACGATTTCGAAACTCACTGTTGTTTTACCACAAATGTGAATGCGTGATTATAGAAATTAGTAGGTACCTACTATTATTCATGCACTTATTATCATAATACAGTCTAAAATTCTAGAGTATATCGCCATCTACACGTGCAATAACGAACCATTTCTACATCTACAGAAGCAACTGGTGTTAGAGCCAAGAGAATTGCGGCGAAGGACGACACAATTATCAATTGTAATGGGGAGAATGCATGCAACCGCCACGGATCACTGGCCTCCTTTGGCGTAAGATAAACTCGAACGAGACCATCTACCACATAGATGATTGACTTTACCCGTTAAAAATGTTCACTACCACTTGTCCCCGTAAAGTATTTCTTCCATGTTTGAGTCTTATCCTGACCCATTCAGCCTTAGACTAATTATGATGTGGTTTAATCAATTTTTCTATGCTATAACTGCATAAAATCTTGGTGTTTTGAATGTTGGTATAATCAGTGATATTTGCACTGTCAGGTGAGACTATATTCTGCTATATTTCGTTTTTCTGAGCCCAAAAACTCGACGTACACACTTTAAACATAATGACTTAGACTAAACCGGCAGTAAGGTCAGTTTCACATACCCGACCACGGTACGGCGTGGTTATGAGATCGTCGGTCTGAATCGGTGGATGAAAACGTAAGATCGACGATGACACGATGCTATTGTTGATGAGACGGCTCGTGATCGTATAGTAGATAGCATCGCGGGTATGCTCACAATAAACCCAGAAACGACCACTCTCACCGCATCAAATATGTAACGCAGTGATTTACGTTACTGACTGCATAGTTGTAGGTTGCAATGTCGTACTCGTAGCCAAAGACATAGACAAAGAAAAAGTCAAAGAACATATACCATGACTGATGTTGTTTAATTCAGACTGAGATTCACTATTGTTTCACTGTTACAAATACACAGGCGGTCGCGTCTGGAGTTAGGGAAAGCATTCCCCGAATCCGCATGCTCACGCACGTGCCGCGCGCGCCAATCACAGCGTCGGACACGTCCGCGTTCACCTGGCTTCACCACCTTCGCTCTGGACGGTGGCGGCACCTAACAGGAAAGACCCGCTATTCTGTAGCACCACCGTCCAGGAGGTGGCGACCTCTATTCACGCGGCCGCATCACGGGCGTTCAATATGGTTCCTCGACGTTGGCGATGATTGGCTTCACGCCTCATTTGCTGCATCTAATCCTCTTGGACTAAATTAGACTAAATTACACGGATGACTGAACAGCTAGTGTCAGTTTGCATTATTGTCTTAATATGGTCAATGCTATAGCGCTATGCCAAATATATTGCAGTTGCCGCGCGTTGGCACCAGATGATTAGGATCCCCCTCGGTTAATCCTTTAATCTCTCAGCGCCGGCGTGGGCAGCCTGGCTTGCACGGATCTATTGATCGCCTCTGGTTGCCAGGGGCAACGCTGTTCAATCAATACCTCCGCGTCTGTGGCGGATCGCGAGGCGATCGCGTCGTGTTGGGGAGCGGGGAGTGGCTTGTAACAGCGTCGTTACACGTGCGTCCAGGCGTGCGCGTGCGTGCATACGTTTAGCTGCTTTGTGTGGATATGCTTTGTGATCGCACACATTCTAATGATTACGCCCGCACGCAGGCACGCACAGACGGACGCACGTACGCACGCCCGTTCCTACTTATACAGGCAGCCAAGCACGCAAGCACATAGCTAGCTGTAGTACTACGAAGCACACAAATCGAAGTGTTTAATGTTGAACGCACGCAGTTTTCTTTTTTTTTTTTTTTTCGAAGAATTTGTATGGGGCATGTATGTGTTTGTATTGTGTTGTGCGTCGCCTCAGTGCGTGCGTCAGTGTCTTATTATTTTTTAATATTTATTTTAGTCACAAAATCCGTTTCCTCAACATTATTTTTTAGCTTGGCCACAATCATGGAGTACATAAGTATTGTTATCTAGCACATTCAAGATAGATCAGGGTATTGACCTGATTGACTTAATTTGTGATTTATTTACTGTCTTGTTTGTATTTGTGAGATTTCTGTTTACATGATAGAGGCGTTATTATTCGCTGTATTATGATACACTGATGTTCGCTGCTCTGCTGCCGCCGTTATGAGACGCTTGGCATATAAATACTGCATAATAAACTTTTAAACAGGGTAGAGTAGAGGTGTGCATTTTTATGATATTTTATGAACTTTTAAGACAGCAGCGCTGCAGCTAGCTCTTATTGTATTCGTAAATTTCGACTGTTCGTGCAGCTATGATGTGTGCGCGGCTATGCATTCGGGGCCGGATCATAGCTGCCGCGTGATACCGTCTAGGACGTTCGCGTCGTGTGCGCCTTGGGCGCATAAGCTGCGCGCAAAAAAAAAATAAAAAAAAAAAAAAAAATAAAAAATAAAAACGAAAAAAAAAAAATAAAAAAAAAAAAAAAAAAAATAAAAAAAAAAAAAAAAAAAAAAAAATATAACGGAAGGTGAGAGAGAGAAATATTACGAACGAAAAGAAAAAAAAAAAAGTAAAAAAAAAAAAAAAAAGAAAAAAAAAAAAAAAAAAAAAAAAAAAAAAAAAAAAAGAAAAAACCGATCGTGCGTCAGGCGCTTCGAGAATAACCTCTTTTGGAACGGTTCTAGTATCCGTCTTCTGAGGTGGCGGGTTTCCCCAGAGAATAAAAGATTTCACATGATGTAGATAATTGCTACATGTAAGCACCTCACTACTGGAACTTAACCATTATCCGTTTTGGAAGTGCTGTACACATAGCGTGTATGTTTATATATTACATAGATGTTTATCTATGGGTAATAGTATATTGATCTCTCTCTCTCTCCTGCTCTATGCTGATGGTGCCTTCGCTGAAAGGTCGAAGCGCGATGACACCAGCAATATTGCACGAGTGGATCATGACAGATGACACGATCACTAGGTGTCCACAATTTTTTTCTATACAGAGTTTTCTTACGGAAATTCTATAGGGTGAAATTGTTGTCACCATCCACGCACCAAATGTAACTTATGCCGCATCCCAGTGAGACGGTCTGTGACTCGAGAGGCCGGTTGCATAACGGAGATTTCCGACGATCGTCTGTGTAAGCGGATCTTGCTCACAGTTCCGCGGCAAGGCGCACGCGACGCTGGGAACGCTCCTAGGGACCAGTATGCAGCGCTGCAGTATGGATCGGTGCGATCTCGAATGAATTGGCCGCGCACGATCATACTGCGCGAACAGTCCGCATTTTAGTGAGGGGACACGAGGGTAGACATTTTGAGGGACTTTTTGTGTGTTCTCTTTTCAGTGTTCACTTGTTATAAAACATAAATTTTCTCTTCGTTTTACGAGTGTGTGATGCGAATCAAGAAGGACTGCGAAATCTCGCGTTCGCGAACCTTGCCAGTAATGCAAATGGTGCAAGGCACAAAGGCTAATAGACTGGGACTCGCTCCCACCTCGATGACCATCGGTGACTAATTAGCTAGCGTAACACGTAGCTACATGCAGAAACGGCACAACCATACATCGCAATACATCGTATTATTGTTAGGACTCTAGGTTACGCAGTAAAAATAAGTGTATATAAATATAATTGGACATTGAGCTAGGGTTTAGTCATTTGTATTACTGAGCCATTGTGATTAGTTGTACTAGTGGGGTTAATTTTTTCTTTGTTTTGGTCCCAGTAACTTACTAGTTACTACTAGCTATATCAGTCTATGGATCAGTATACAGAGGTTTTTTTTTTTTTCTTTACTTACTTGCAAGTACATTCCGTCACTATGTATTGATAGTAATGCTAAAAACCGATAGCTGTTACTTGAGTGGATGACTGCAAGTCTGCACTGCAGATCAAGGCTGCACTGCAGGATCATAGATGCGACTGCTCCAAGAAACGGGTATTTGCTAGGGCGTTAGGAATACTAGGTGTATTGCGTTATCACACAGCCTGGTCGGGTTAGTTCGACATACACGGCTATACCGACCACGCCGGGATGTAAACAAATTAACTAAACTGATCTAGCTTGTTAATA